TTCGGGAACACAATCGCAACAATCTAAGCAAAAGAGTTCTTGACAATCTTCGCATGCGTTTAAGTCAAGCGAGTTGCCACAGTTTCCGCATTCTTCTTCGGTTCTTTTAATTTCACAACTCTCGCAAAGATAAAAATCTTCTCCCTCCGGTTTACTTTGAGAACTAGTATCTAATTCATGAGGGGAACCACAATCGCCGCATAGCAATTGGAACTTACAACTTTCACAGTATCATTCTTCGGTTGTTTCTCCGTTTAACTTATGAAAAACATAAGCCCCACACTTGGGATGGCGGAAAGAATAATAATCATTCTCTCGTTTGTGTATTCCCTCATCACAAGCCTTTTCACAACCGCTACAAGTCAAGTGGTGCTTCATTTCTCTAGCTTGGCACTCGTGATAAATAGCATACTCGGGCATTTGACAGCCTTGACATTTGCCCATTTCAGCAATCTCAGCGGCTAATTCCGGCAAATGGTCGATTCCTTTATCGACTCCTTTATATCAGAATTGGGCTCAATTTAGTAAATTTTTTTCGTGCGGGGAAACAACGAAAAAGTTATGCTTGGCTAAGGTGCGCTTTAAGTTTTTTCAGATTAGTACGTTCATTTTTTAAGAAATTGATGTTTTATTTTTATATTATACTATCTTCGGGTTCAAATTCTTCTTCCGCAAAATTATTTCAGCGTTCTAGTTTGTCATTTAAGCCATTAGGAACCGTAATTACGGTCTGAATTTTGGCTAAGGTAGTTAAGCAATCGCCAGTTAAATCCGGGTCTCATCATTCGCTCTCTTCGGCCACATCCAAAGCGGCTAAATCACTTTCTATTTCGCTGCGTAGTTCTTGAATTAACTGTAAATCTTTCCGTAAAACATTCTTTAATTTAGCCTTACTCATTAGGGTAATTTCCGCAGGAGAATAATTTCAGCGAGGAATAATTACTGGCTGCGGTTGAGGATGATTAGGACAGCCTTTATTTTTCTGACGGCAATGTTCTTGACAATAGTAATAAAAGCAGTCTTCTTTGGCAAGAATTTCCCCTACTCTTACTTGGCGGCATAGTTCTTCAGCCGGTTGGGAACAAAATCATTCCTGGCATTTTCTGATGTTCTTTTGGTTCATAAGGCTTAAAAAACTCGTTTATTATTCTCAGTTGCTTCTAACTGAGGCGAGATTATTTGTTCGCTAATAAAAAAAGGACACAGGGCCTTGTTAATTAGTGGTTGGCTTTCGCAATAATTACAACTATGCTGGATTTTTTGGGTTAAAATTTTTTTCTCTTTCATAATTGACTTAACCCTTGGTTATTTGGGGAGAACCAAGAAAAAAAACTCCTTTTCCTTTGGACTTTGGGGATTAATTTTCCTCCTAAACGGATTAACTGGCGATTAATTCGTCAAATATTCCCGGTAGCGTAAAGAAGAGGTACTAAATAGCAAACATAAAAGATTAACTTCTCACTCCGCTTAGTAGTTTGTAATCCGTTATTTTGGTGGGGTTCATTAATGATTGAAACTAATAAACCAAAAATAGATAAAATGCTAAATTTTTTCAGTGTTTCCTTAAATAATTCGTTAGTCTTGTAGGTTTGGAGCAGCAAGTTTTTCTTAGTAGTTTCCGCTCAGTTGGTTTGTTCGATTTGAACCGAGAGCCGAGCTAGCGGGGATTTGAGATAACCCGAAATTTCCCCGTCAATGATAAACATTATTCCTAATACTAGGCTTACCAGAAAGATAACGAGCAACTCGTTCTGATTTAGTCAGTTTTCGGCATTAGGCTTGACTCAACTGTTAATAATCCCTTGGGTTAGTGGGAACAAGATGGCATAAAAGGCAGTTCATTTATACATATTTACTCACCATTCCCGAAATTTCGCGGGAATTCCATTAGGCTGGGACGAGCCAAAAGTTGCTTTCATGTTTCGCCTTTTAAGGCTTGGTCTAGGGAAAAATTACGGAATTTTCTCTGTATAGAACCTGTACATGACCTGTATAGCAAAAAAAATAAGGTAAAGTTTGGGAGTAAGCGGGAGAAACTATTCTCCCGTTCATCTAAAAATTATGCTCGCCCTAAAAAAAGAAAAAAAATATAATTAAGAAAACCCAAATGAACGTACTAATCCCCTCTTCGGCCACTCCCGAGTTGAGGAAAAAGATATTTTTACATTCTTTCGACTCAGAAAGAAAAGTTCATTGTTTGTGAGGTAAAATCCAAGCCCAAACTCCCGATAAAGTTTATCGTAAAGGTAAAAACTATGGTTCACTCTTTTATCGGCTAAAAGTGGTAATTGAAGGAGGAATAATAAAAATGAATGTTTTTCGGAACTCATTAGAACGAGAACAAATCTGAGAAGAACTCGACCAAGGAAGTTTCTGGGGAAAAGAATATCTCTTTTTCTGTCATAATTATTGAGGTAGTTATAGTCTGGTGGATTGAGAGGAAATATAGTTGAGGTTAGGCTTGCAAGCCCGATTTAATTCCTGAAATTTCTGGCTGTTCTCTTCTGTGAAACACTCTTGACAAATATGATGCTGGCTAAATTCTTGGCAAGGAGAAAATGAGTAAATTGTCAAATTCCTTATCACAACTTTCACTAACAATAAAAATATTCTTATGAATGGTCTTGTGGTTTATTTTCTCTTAATCGCTGTGCTAGTATTATTAGTGGTTATTTTTGTTTACTTGGCTTTTTATTTGCCCCAATCTAAATCCCAAGAAATCAGTTCTCTGGAAGAAAAAATCCAACTTCGTTTGGATAACTTGGTTAATCACCAAAAAGAATCGGGTCAACAACAAGAAAAACTATTACAACTTCGTTGGGAACAATTGGAGAAAGAACTAAAAGCCAATAAAGAAGGTTTAACTCAACAACAAAAAGAACAGGAAAATTTACTAAAAACCCACTTGGAATCACTGAGTAAACAAC